GCCAGCTTCCCCACTGACTTGTGGGAAGCCAGCAGCGAAGGTCACAAATGGTGATAATGTTGCCGCAGCTCCCTGCAACATAATTGCAACCGGGCACCCGAATCACGATCATGTGACTGTGGGGGTCCTGTGATGGCTGGAACCTTGAGGACCAGTTGTACGTCCATTTTTTCAGCGCTGCTGTAACTTTGAATGGTCGCTGAACAAATGGACGTAAGCCAAGGACTATCTGTATATGTGCCACCTTATACAGAAAACCAACTGACCTGTGTACACACTTGAGCACCCTTCCAAATGACAGCATTCATTATTTATAGTCAAGCCATTGTACAAATCATTTACATCTGAACAGAGACACACTATGGATTTAAAATGGGCATTTTTCAAATTATAATGAAACTATCTACCCATTGAAACTAATCAACCAAACCACAAGAGTTCAAAGGAATAAGCTACTACAACAGATGTGGAAGGAAAAAAAATCAGAATGTCGCTCGTCCTCTTCAGTTCCCACTCAAAACCAAAGTGGCAGTAGCCCCAAACCAGTGGTAGAATGTTTCAGCCCCCTAGGCCACTCCGTCACTGACCTCAAGGTAGCAATCACTGAGAAAAAGGATTACAAAGACTGTTCCTAAACAGCCAAGCTGAAACTCAACAGATTTCACACCATTTAATATAGCTGAAGTCACAGTGTCTTACGTTAATCTGTCAGCTTCCCTCATTATGTTGCTCACTACTGGCATCTCTCTTTCACCGTTTCCCTCTTTTCCTTCTCGCCCCACCTCTCCCAATAGGTAATACTGTTAAGGAAGCAGACAGGGTGCTTGGAACTGTGAGCTCAACCATCTGTGGGTTGGACCCACATTCTTCCTAGTAAGCTCCTTGGGAGATGATGTGCACTGGATTATCCTTAAGAGAGAGGAATGGCGGTGCTGCTGCTTAAAGAGGCTATTGTTTACCTTTCTCAAGAAACCACTGCTAGATCTGACCATTTTGAATAACTCTCATTGGATCTCCAACCATCCCTTTTTAGGGAAGTCTGCTGAGAAGGTAGTTGTGCTGGTGGAAATGGATCATCTGAATCTTTTTCAGTCAGGTTTCAGATGACTGAAATGGCATTGATCGCATTTGTGGATGACCTCTAGCAAGACCAGGATGGAAGTGGTGTCCATCCTGGCTCTCCTTATGGCATGATATGCGGGAATGACCTTGGGAGACAGGAGGAAGAGCCGCAGACTGGGCAACTGGCACGTAAAAGATTTCTCAGCCCACTGAAGGAGAGGGAGCATGGGGAGCATTTCAGAAGGGACCCTCCCTAGTTTTTTGGAGAGTAATAGAAAAGGGGGGGGGAATGCTTTCAGTCTTACAAGATTCTGTTAATGTAACCTTATAATAGAGTTAGTACTCAGGGTTGTGCCTCTTATCTGGACTACCTCAAAGGGCTAATGCCTTAATCTCTCAGGGCCTTCAGTACCATAAATCATTGTATCTTTCTGGACTGGCTCCAGGGATTAGGAGCAGAAGCAGAGTTCTCTGCTGGTTTTGCACCCTTCAGAGCTGGTTCCAGTTGCTGTGGATGAGGAGGAAGGATCTAGCCCATGGTCTGTTTTCTGTGGGGTAGCTAAGGGTTGGATGCTCTCCCTACTCTTATTTAACATCAACATGAAACCACTGGGTGAGGTCTCATCAGTATACTGACAATACACAGCTCTACATCTCTGCCCCAGGCCAACTAAATGATGCTGTGGAGGTTCTGTCTCAGTGTCTGGAGGCTGTGGGGGTCTGGATGGGGAAGAACAGGCTTCAGCTTAACCCTTGCATGACTGAGTGGTTGTGGGTTTTGGGCTCCCTGGATCCAGTGTTTTTCCACCTTTGATTCTGGATGGGGTTGCACTTCTCCAAACAAAACTGGTGTGCAACCTGGGGGTCCTCCTGGACTCGCAGCTCCTGTTTGAAGAACAGATGGTAGCCATGGCCAGGAGCACTCTTGCGCCAGTTTGTGCCTCTTCCTGGGCTTGGAGGCACTACCCACGGTCACTCGTACCTTAGTCACCCCGAGTGGATTACTGCAACGTGCTCTAGGGGGGACTGCCCTTGAAGACCTGGAAGCTGCTACAGGTCCAGAATGTGGCAGCGTGGAGACCTGTGAGCGCACCTCAGCACGCCTGCGTCACACATCTGCTCTGCTCGGTGCGCTTCCAGGTGCTGGCTGCCACCTGTGAAGCCCTTCACGGCTTGGGGCTGACTTATTTAAGGGACACCCCCCCCCCGGTTGTTTCCCTCCATCCATCCTTCCCCCAATGGAACTAGACAGCGGCCCTTTTCTGCCGCAGCACCTTCCCTTGGAACCCGCACCGCCCCACCCCCGACGGCCTTTGGCAAAGGACTGAAGGCCGGGAGGCGCTCTGGACCTGGGAGGTGCGGGGCCCAGGCCAGGCCAGGCGACCGAGCGGAGCAGCTCGTTGATGCCGGCTTCGGCGGGGCTTGCCGCGCGCTGCTGGCCTCCCGGAGACGGGCCGCAGCACGCACGCCCCGCTCCAGCGCCGAGGCGGGAAGCGAGGCCCCGGCGGGCGCTTCGGCCCCTCGCTCGCCCTCCCGGACCAGCGCCGGGCAACCGCGGCAACTTCAACCGCCACATCCCCCGGCCGAGGCCTGGCCAGCGCCGCCCTCAGCGCTCGTCCGGGCCCTTCCCG